ATTGTAGTCTCGTTTTATATATTTTTATATTTGTTGTAGAAGAGTGAGTTCCATTCTTTGACTTACTTGTTTCATTCTGCAACTAGGTAGGGTGGTGACCGCAACTCTTAATTCTATTACAAGCCTCGGGTAGGTTGGTTTACTTAACACTGTCATAATCACTGAATTCAATGGCCAAGTCACATTAGCCCAACTCCTGACGCTCCTATAGCTCACTACCGCCCAGAATACAGCACTTTTGTGGAAGTTCAGAAAGAAGTATTAGTGGCCCTAATATTAAGTCGCCAGAGCTATTATAGTAGTTGGCAAAGGGGAACCTGCTACTTCAGAAGCGATTTCAAGATCTTAAGCCGTTGAAAGAGCAAGAGAGGGATATCAGGACCCAGCTAGCTCTTTTATGGGATAGGATGACTGATACAGAGTATGAAACTAGGATATCCCACCTGACAATGCATATCCCACCTGACAATGCTGTTAAGGTGGATAATTCTTTCCCACCGTTAGGCAGTATCCTAGCTCTTTTCCTCTTATTTCACTGGGCAACTGTAACTACAAAGGCAAGAACTGGGCAACTGTTTGACTCGGTCCTCTAAGCAAGAGATAGGTTCTCAATCAGCAGGGTGCCCCAACACAGGTTCACTCAGGACTTGCTCTGGACCTAAAGGTAGAGAATAGAGTAGACTTAAGAATCCAATGAGATAAATCAATTTGGAAGAAAATCAAAGAAATATGAAAAAACCAAGAAAAAAACAGATCTTTTGCCTATACTAACTAAGTAGACAAACAGTAGAGAAAACCCTAGGAGAACTTTCACTCTCCTCATATAGGAAAACACTTAAGAAAGGAGAGTTTACAGTTTAGGTCTGTTATTAAAGTATAGTTCAATTGTTTAGTCATAGAAGCAATAGGTTCGACAAGGTCAGCAGTTAGAGCAGAGCCAGCATTGTCATCTGTAACCAAGGAAAAGAGGTGGGCAAGGTATCATCTGTAACCAAGGAAAAGAGGTGGGCAACGTAAGCAGTTAAGTAAGAAGTAGAGTGAAGTTCTGTTCTTAGAATTATCCACCTTAACAGCATTGTCAGGTGGGATATGCCACCTTAAAGAGAAGAGGGAATCTTTGTTTGCAACGATAGAATCTTCCGCTAGGTAAGGTACTGGTGCGTGCCGCAGCCGCTACACATTTTTAGTGACTTGGCTGATAGCATTAGTTGTTATATATATATATATATATATATATATATATATATATATATATATATATATATATATATATATATATATATATATATATTATTATAATATATATATATATATATATATATATATATATATATATATATATATATATATATATATATATATATATATATATATATATATATATATATATATATATATATATATATATATATATATATATATATATATATATATATATATATATATA